TCCAAGGGGCTGGGACTCGACCCTGTTGGGCGATCGCGCCTCGGAAATATTGCAAACTGCATTTGAAACAAAAGCCCGGTTTTTACTTCTAAGACTCCGTTCTTCGATGGGGGGGCAGGGGAGGACGTCGTGTTCAATTTACAGCGTATTTTCCCGCTTGAGATGCCGCCGAGGGCGCAGGGGTGATTTGTGGCTGTTGTGCACGGAAAAGCAAAGAAAACAGAAAAAAAAGACACGCAAGAGAGCCATCTCTTCCACTTCTTAGTGTATTGAGGCTGACATTCTCGCAGCTGAAAGTGCTAGCGGAACGGGAATTTGGGATTACTATTCCATTATTCAATGTGCATGAGCTTGCCGGGGGCTAATAGTTGAAGAATCCCTGCAAAAGGCCGCTCTTTCAGACAATAAACTCTCTTTCAGCTTGTGGCTGGCTGTATCCGTTCACGTACCAGCCTATGAAATGCAATGCGAAGCGAACCAAATTGATGGCTGTCAAACTGTTCCCCAGCCTTTGCCTATCCGCCCAGTCCGGAAATTTTCCAAAGAAGGAACCGTTCAAAAGTATACAGCGGGAAAAAGCAACAAAAAAAAGGAAAGGAAAAGAAGAGAAAGAAAGAAACGCCCGATATGTTGGTCTTGGCGGACTGCTTGGTGATTATGTCGGATTAGAAGAGGTTGTGTGACTTTGTGTGTTTTTCCAGTAACTCTACCGCCGGTGACGACGGGCTTCAAGAACAGTATGCAGAATAAGATGATGTTTAAATCGGGCAAGGGTACACTGCCTCTTGTAAAGGGCCTATACGAGTGATTTCTCAATTTTGACATATAGTGCACCGCGGGGGATAGGAGCGCCTTCCAGATCCATCAGCGGAATGAAGCGATATCCCGAACGCAGGCGGTCGAGACGAATACAAGCCCATGCCAATACTGATGTGCTCATGCGGGAGTCGTCACCGATTCGAAAACTGACAAAAGTTAGGATTTGGTTCTAAAGTAGCGGGGGGGAAGGGGGGGAAGAAGCTTACCGGACGAAACTGAGCTCAGGAACGACCTTGGTTATGCCAGTAAATTCGAGGTGCCTTTTAGATTCCGGGAACTTGGGGTTGTTCGTTGCTCCCGCACCTATTCGCTTCTTGTAGTTACTTTCGCTTATTTCCTTACCAGTGGCCAGTTCAGATTTCTCTACATGAAGTGTGACTTTGACGTAGGGACGGATGGCGCTGCCGCTTCGTGGTTCATCCCCCGAATCGTCGCTTTCCGTGGGGATATTTTGACCGGCGAATATGGTGAGGCGGAGATCTAATCTAGATCCGGGCGTTGCATCGTCGTGGGATTCGGACGACTTATCGGAACTTTGGTATCCCGGCGGTTTAAGAACCCAGCCCTTCTCGTCTGCAAACATGCCCTCATTGATCATCATGCCCGTATCTGTGTTTTGCCAGTTCATGGCAGCCATTTGTACCCCGCGTCTCCAAAACAGGCTGGGGTCAAGGTTTGAACTGTCCCATCGCATCTTGTCGGGATACGCTCTCATGAAATAATTCTTGTTGTGTAAGAACACATCGCGTTGGTGTCTCTGATACAGCTCCAAGATACGCTTCTCGCTAATGGAGAAGATGTGAGCTGGCCGCTTTGCCTCCTTCGCCTCGAAGGTCTTGAAGTGTTCACTTCGCGTGTATACCGCCAAATCACCTAGGCTTTGGCATATGCGGCCCGTGTTAGGCTTGTCGTGGGATATACTGGGGGCGGCTGGAGCGGAGGCGGATTTTGCCGGAGGCATTGGTCGGCCGTTCTGGCATACGTCATTTTCTGATGAGTTCGTATCCGAGTCTGCTGGAGCTGTGAGAAGACGGTCGGGTGTGCTTGCCCCCCAAGTACTTTGGGAAGGAAATTGTGTCATACTGTCTCCGATGACTTGCGAGGTAGTCTGCGAGGTAGTCTGCGAGGTAGTCTGCGAGGTAGTCTGCGAGGTAGTCTGCGAGGTAGTTTGAGAGATAACTGGTGCTGTGCTCTCCACCGTATTTCGAGGGCTAACTGGCTCCATTTTGACGGTAGCTTTCTTCACCTTGACTAGAATTTTGCGTTTCAAGTCCTGCAATTTCGGGAGGCGGAACCTTGGATCAAAATCTTCGTGTGCTTCAGTCACAAGAAGGTCTTGCCACTCCTCTTTCATGATCTTCACCATGACCTCTTGTTGTTCGTGATCGGCGTGAACTTCCAAACTGATAATGACCGGCAAGTCGTTGTTTTCAAACGCGGATTCCTTGACAGCTATGCAAACTTCTCTAAATCCGCAGGGGACGGTCAGGGTGTGTCCATGGGTCACAATTGGCTCGCCTCTTGGGGGGCTATGATGTCGAGGAGATCTCGGAGCATGTGTCTGGGATACCTCTAGCTTATCAGTTGACTGCTTCGTATCCGGCAAGTTTAGGATGCTTATTCTTGGGGACACTTCTTCCACCATAGTGCGGCTATGCGTGCTGGGGCTTCGTGAGTGAAGAGAAGCCTTTTCCCCTAGAAGATGGTTCGCCGCCGCCTTGACCTTGTGATCCACGTTCTCCAATGCAGTTGCAATAGCTACATTGGTCTGGGACGTCCTGGACGGGCCTCTACTGTGGCCTCGATGGGGCGATTTTGATCTTTCTCGACTTGGAGCAGGGTCTCCATTCCAGACGTCAATTTCGATACAGCGGCAACCTCTCAAGAGAACCTGGATTTTTATTCATCAGCTCAGGTATATCCCAATATGTCAAGCTAATCAAGGTAAGACTAACGTTTCTGTAAGCTTCTGGAGTACTGGTCGATGAGAGCTGATTGCCGTCCAGATATGTATTATGGCTACTGTTGATGAAGTAATTGGTCAGAGGTTTTGAGAGGTCTTTCTCTGGAGGCGGCCCAATTGCATTGACGCCATAACCTTCTACCAACACATGACGGAACTCTCCCGCTGTATACTGCTCCTTGTCGAGATTTTTAATAAAGGGTTCGCGTTGAACATCTCTGAGGAAGGCATAAAGCTTCTCTCTAGATAGAAATTTGTCATTCCTCTTCAACCCGTCATATAGCTCGTCAACTATATCGTGGAATCTATTGCCAATGGGTGCCTTGCCTTCGGCTGCACCACTAGGTGACAGTGGCGCTGATTTATCGGGCGGAATAAACGTTGAGACTCCAACCAAGCTTCGCAGCGCTTCACGTGCATTCTTATTTGAGCTTCCGAAGATAGACATTGTTCGAGTTCGTTTAGGAGAATCTGCATCATCGCGCTTGCGGCTTAAGAAACGGCGACGCTGGAAGACAGGGAAATCAGTCTGGGAAAGTCTCGAATCGTGGACAGATCTTCAGGCGGCATTGTAACACAAATATATGTGAAAACATTGAGACTTACCGCTGGAAACCCGCACAGAAAAGCCATTTCGATGGCACAAGCTGCGCTGCCTGTTTCCAAGTGAATGTGACAGCCAACAGTTGTATCTGAAAAACTTGACACGAAGATAGCAGCTGATGCCGATGACGGCGCACCAGGCCCTAGCGGACTTAGGACAGGCAAACCATGCGCGATCGGTGCACAAGTCGAACCAACAAATCCCTAAACCCGGACGGGTAGAGTAGCAATAGGCTCAAATACTGCTTGAAGCCCCGGGAAGATCAAATAATACAACTCCTTGAGGTCACAAACGTCACCGGGTTTGAGACTTTGCTCGAAGCAAGGCTTGGAATGTCAGCAGGGCAGCGCAAAGGCGGATCGTCGTAGAATCAAAGACCTACCGCCTCATTCACTACCTTGGTACCCAAGACTAGGCAGTACGCAGTGTAATATCTCATGGTGCTGACAACAGCCCAAAACTCGTGGTGACCCTGCTTGCTGGTGTGCTTGTCTCCCTGTCGCCATCTCTCCCTGTCAGCATCTGCAGGTTTCCACCACGCGCACCGCGCCTCATTGGGGGCAGAACCGGGGCAAAGTGCTTGACTAGTGGAGTGGCTTTAGTCCATGGATATGACAGCCCTATCAAAGTTGAAGAGGCATCCTGCAGTAGTATTCGCTCTTCGATTGGAGAGGCATTGGGGCCGTGAGACACGGTTCCGGGACGGCGATGGGAACCTGATTGGTGCCCGGAGACCAAAGATGGATGATTGGCAAATGACGGCCGGCAGACATCGAGGGATGAAGCGACGCAGGGCTGGAGCACGCCGTAATAAATGGTACGATAATGTTCTCGCATGAATATGAGGCGCAGAGAAGGAGGATGCGACTGAGACATCCAATGCCATCGCAGGCAGTTAAGGAAGAGGCCGTGGATGCATGATGACGGGCATGAGTCGGCTACGTTTGGGGGGAAATGACGTGTCCTGCATTTTATCTGAGCAGGGGGCAAGAAAAGGGTGCTTCATGATACCGAATACGTAGTTGCTGGGTATTATCTGGTGTTTGGACAAGCACAGGCCGTCCAAATTTGAGCCAAGGCATTTTGGCCTCCCAAGGCAGGCGCGGCCCGCCGGGTCCTGCAGGAACAGTCATGGGGCTATGGTTGAATGCTGCCTGGGCCAACAAGCGATCAAGTACCGAAAGTACAATGCACACGCACCCCAGAATGCCGTCCTGGACAGATGCATCACGCAACAAAAACAACATCTGAGGAGCCATTCCCGTCCACAATCCAGCTCGCTATCCCAAACGCCAAGGACCCTCCCTACGTCGGCACTAGTACAATGTCTTGTGCGGCTGACCGCGGAACGGGGCGATGCGGCGGGGGCGCATTCAAACCGTCATCTGTTAACGGAATTGGGCTCCAAACCTCTGCGGTCTTACCAGACGCCAGGCCTAGTCAACCTGGAAGAACGTGGGGCCCTCTGTGACGAATCAGGGTTGCAGTCTCTGCCAACCTCTGTCTCTTCTTCACCACCACCCCATGAACAAGTCCATCAAATGCTGACGCAGCTATTCCTTTGAAACCGAGCCCCTACAAGACTCACACAGACTGCAGACGACTACTTTCATCATGGGCCGAGAGCAAGAGACGCAAGTGCGTTCCTGGGGCTTCGGCCACGTCTTTACTTGGAGTGATGGACCGTAAGTCGAACCTGTGGCTGGAAGGGACTAACTACCCTGTAGCGTCACCCGAGGCTGGACAGACTCTTGGACGCAGGGACTGACGTCATACTGCGACAGCAACGCGCATTATCCTCCTCACTCTCACTCCGGGCTGACAACTCATCTCGTCGTCGCTGGCGAGATGACGCTGTGGTACCCAAATGAGCCCGATAGGGAGAAGAAGACGTATGGCGTTGGGTCTAGAGTAGATGTTGATGCTGGAAGGGTTCATGAAGTTTGGATGGGAGACCAAGGCTGTACGTATGTTATTGGGGAGTAGTTTTGCTTCGGGCTCTGGACTTGTGCTCTGACATGAGGCAAACCGCGTGATGCCTTTCTGTTATATGCCTATAATTGTTGCGATAACTGGAATGAAAGGCTTGTCTCTTCAGAAGGCAGCGATGCGACGCTTGTGTCCCAGGTAATAGATGTCCGGGGGAGTATCCATCAGACGAGTCATGACTTGCATAATGGATTTCAATCTGACGATGAATATCAGCCCCCCTATGTTAAGTCCCGACACTATGAGTAGGGGTTACGCCTTGTCAGAGTGGCTGTCGGGTTTGACCACTGAGTCATGGAGCAAATAGATCCAGCAATACGGGCCCATGGCTGAATATGTCCGACATCTAGCTTATGAATATACATGTCTTGGCTTTCTCTCTTTTTCGGGGCCTCTGACGGCTTCTTCCTTTGGATGAGAGGAAGGGCCGACTTCTCTAATCAACTTGTCACATAATTCAGCGCCAATACTAAGCGAATACGCAGTTCTCTCCTTTGGGTCTGTCTTACCCTTGTTTCTTTGCTCACATCTTGCCCTTTGTTGGATAGCCGTTTGGCCCCAGCATATAAATTTCAGAAAATCGGGATGGAGTTATCAAGTACCGGTTGCTGAGAACGTGGAAATAAAAATTGATTATACACAATGTCCTTTGATGCTCTCGGTCCAGGGAATCTTTTCCTGAGTAGCAAGCTGAAAATGAATCTATTCGTTTGGGTCAATGAGACAACTGCTGAAAAAGATTCACGTTCTGTTCATCTGCCCGACTGTATATCAGGTCAGGCGCAGCATCCGACTTCAATCGTCATTTCAGTTGCACTCAGTGACAACTCAGCAAATCGGCGCTTCCTTCTCCATGCAGTCGAATTGGAAAGCCTGTACCGAAGACTCGCACTCTTTCAGCTCCTACATTGAGTCGGGTTGCCTCCATTATCTGATTCCTTTCTTCAAGGCAGTCAGATTTGACACTCTATTCGCCATTGGACATGAGGGCCTTTTCGGCAAAATTGACTTGCACAAAGTATACACATTCTCTAGAGCCAAGGACACAATACTCGGTAGGCGATGCATACGAGAACCTCTTGTCTAATAAACACGCCTCCTATCCACGTGGTATTCATGTTCGGGAATGGCGGCCGAAGCAGCAATACAAATCACCTTTGAGCAAACCTACATAGACACTCCCCGAAATATCCATCCAAGTCCACTCTTAATTATTGTCATCAACACTGCCAACACAGGAAGAAGCCGACAAATGCTCCAGAGCTGGCAGAAATATCCCCAAAGCGAACTTGTCACGTTCCCATCTTCGGCGACACCATCCAATTCACCGGCTGCAAAAGTCCTGCTGCCTATTCCGGTCGACGGACCCTTCACCATGCTAATCATTTTGCCCCTCGCGGGTCGCGGACTGAGAAAAGGCCGCGCCGGCCGGATCTACAGGAACCCGAAACTCTTTTAATCCCTCGCGCAGAGTCCGTATATTGGACTCATCCCTCGGATTGAACTATCTCAATGTTTCTCTCTCCTGTTTACACATACTATAGGGTTCTGTATTCGGTGCCAAGTTAGGATACGGATGTTTCTTGCCGCTGCCATCTTGTCATTTCGTTGGTGTGAATCATTGCCCAATGTATCCCAATGCTTGAGAAGGGGCACAAACTCAATGACAACAATGTTTGTACAACACACATTCCCCTGTTCGAGGGATGAAGGATTCAACAATTTAGTGTTGCATCAGGTTCGCAGATCCCCCTGAACGAGGCAAGGCAAGGCATGGTGCGGTCACACTGCAAGAAAATGGCTTGATGCTGCCAACTAAGTTTTCAATAAGCCCCAGCCAACTCATAAATGCCTTTCCTGCTATTTTATCTGTTTCTTTCTCGTTATATAGACAACTCTGCCTAATGGCACCTCTCCTCTTCATGATGTGTTGTGGCGCTAGCCATTCCTCCGCCTCGCATAAACAACTCGATGCGCAAACACAATACACGCAGCAGAGGCAAGTAGTAACGAATAGGGTATTCCACGGGAGAAACCTGCGTTAGCTGACCCTCGACGTCATTCCTGTCAATGCGGCTTATTCTTGTGCGACTCACTCCACCGCTATCTAGGGTCCCAAGCACAGAGTTCACTGCTGCATATGTAGTCAGATGACCAGGAACCAGGCACGACGGAGCTGACAACGTATTTGGCTCGCAGTTACATCCCTGATGGTGAAGTCACTGTGGTCCTGCAGTAGTTTTAGGCTTGGTCACATTGCAGAACGATTCAAGCTAGTGTGCCAAGTACATATACACGGAATACTGCATCTACGATGCGGTCAAGCGGACGCGCTGCATGTCATTGAGGTATGGAACAAGGCCAGACAGACACTCTCTGGATCTTGAAAGATATGTATGTATGATCCGGGTGAGAGTAAAAATGACTCGTGGTTCACAGCTGCTATCGGGGCCGTCCAATATCAAGGTGTTGGCCTAACTACACATGGGCCAACTCCCCGATCCTTTACAGCAAAGGAACTGTGGAATGATGATGCCACGAGGCCCGAAAGGAAGCTTATGATCCTTTCTCTCACCGCCGTTATCCATTGACCCGTGGCAGGGATTTGCGGTGACTTTCGGCATGGGCTCCGTCCGACGTTTCTAGAGAAGAAAACTTGAACCTGGCCCCAAGAGGGATCCATCGTGACGGCAAACACGATGGGGCGATGTAATGATGATATGCCCTTCAAGAGTACTCCGTAGCTTCTCTCATGTGACAATTGTCAAGAGAGACTGTGAAAATTATGATACGCCTCGTCCCTTTGGCCGTAAATCGCGAGAGGCCTCCTCCTCACCTTTCCATATCACCAATTGCTCAAGTGGCTACTGCGCCATGGCAGCCACCGACTTCTCCGTGTGCGTGATGATGATCAAAGACGCGACTACTCAGTGCGACCAGTCTATAATACAGCTTCGTGCCCGTCAACGGCGGCCCTGTTTCCAAGACTGTGTGCGCTGCCGAAACGTCGTGGCCTCACAATGTCATGTACTATCGTGATGTAAATACCCAACACGTTGGATCGTATGCTTTGCCAATAGGAGATTAGGTGTTTCGCTACCGGTACTAGCGTCGTCAAAGGAAAAGTTTAAACTTTAGAGTCGTGTGGCGATGCTGGCAGGGTTACCCGTGTTCCTGTTGCCACTAACGAGGCCATGAGCAACTCGGAAAGTTTCTGTGGCACATCAGTTTGTACCGCCCGTGTTGGCCAGGTAGGGACATTGAATCGATGATGGCTAGAGCTCGGTATGCATGTCACTGCCGAGGTGAGCAGGCCTTATCTGAAACCAACCCCTCGTAAGGGTCTACGGTGCACGGCGACCAAGGCCGACGATGACAATGTTTCCTTCCATCCATGGCGATGCAAGTAGCATCAATTGATCCATCCCGAGCATCCCTCCCTCCCGCCTGCTGGGCTGTGGCAAGGTGCATGTATTGGCTGTCGGCGTGGCTGTCTTCGTATCGCGGTATGTGGCGCAAATCGAAGCTGGGGGGATGGATGTGGCCAAGATGCTCAGCAGCAACTCCCTCGCCTGCAGCTTCTTAGCAACTTGGCAAGGCCAGGATTGTATGTATGTACGGAGTATAATCCTTTCTCTTCCTCTCTCGCTCAATCGCAGCTCGGGTGCTTGTACAGTACATAGGTGGGCATGGAGGAGCAGAGTGGTATTCGCATATCGACGGTGCGATGCCAATGGCGATGGAGCCGATCGATGTTTGGTGATCCGTATTTCACTACCCTGGCCGTGTGGGGATCCCAAGGCCACAAACGCCAGGACGCGGAGTGCGACCCATCGATGCCAGGTGTGACTTGGACAGGCCGTTTCATATTGCGGTTGAATGCCCAGAGCGCGAGGCTCAGCCCAGGACCAGGACCAGGACCCCAGAAGCCGTTCGACGGAGCCTGTTTTGGCAACTTGGCCATGGCCTCCTCGATCTTTGTTTCGGAGTCATGCCATGGATGACCTGAATTCGACGACCCTTCCTGGCTATTTCCCATGGTGCGATCGCTTGCTCGCTTGCTCGCGGCGAGCACGGGCCTCCCTCGCTCTCCTCCCTTGCCTCCTCCTCCCCACATCTCGCGATGCTCTGCAAACATCTGGTAGCCAAGTCGACGGGTTCAACCGTCCAAGGCGGCCAATGTCTTGCATCTCCTTTCGAGAGGCAGCATAGCCGGCGTTGTCGGCGAGAGGGCAGCCAGCCCTGCCGGCTTCGTACATGTACTGTACGGTTGGGGTTCGTGTCTCAGACAGCCATCGTCAGTCGCCAGGCGCGACCACGGCCACATTTGCCGCTTGGCTTGGGGCCTGACGGCGCCTCGGAGGAGCTCCAGAACCCTCCAGGGCCGTTTGGAGCCAAACCCGTTGTTTATCTGCTTCAGGCGACACGACGCCGCCAAACGCCTTGTCCAGCTGGGCCATCTGCCATGTCCGTCTCCACCAACGTTGGTGGCGCCTCTCTTCTCCGTATCGAGCAAGCAAGGTCGCCGCGGTAGGCTTGTTGGATGGCGAGCCGGGTATGTACATGTACGATTGGACGCTCGGGGATTTTGTTCGCACGCTGACCTGTCTTGGTTATAGACTTGTTGTCTTCTTCCGTCCTCCCGACGGGGATCCCCTCTCTCCTAGTTCCAAACACGACCATCATAAACCTTGATGCTCACGGACAGTCCTCTTGATCCGTAGTAATATTAACCAGCCTCCACACGACTAGCTTTGACTATCGCCCTTGGCACTGCTTTTGAACTACATACATCTTATACCATCTCACACATGTTCGTCCTGCTTCGACATATCGTATGCTTCCTTTTCCCTCCCCAGTAGTTCCTGGGCCTGGCCTGCTGCATTATATGATCGTTCTACGCCGGCCTCTCCCGGCATCTGGGACCTATGTTGTTCGATCGCAGACGAACCCGGGCGGAATCCGGAACCCATGACAATGACAGTGGTCGCCTCGCATTTCCCGATCGATCCTCCTCACTCACTCCGTACATGTCGCTCCAGAAGAAACCACAGGCGGCTTCGCGGCTGTATCCCCAGCCTGATGTTGGAGGCTCGGCGTCTCGAGATCACCGGAATGGACTCGCTAACCAAGATGAAATCGAGTCTGGCCTCCGCAAACACCCCTTCTACGCCCATGATGTCTCCTCTCCTCAGGATCTGAACCGTTATTCTCGCATACATATTGGGCCAGAGTATGCGAATGCCGCTCTGACAGTCCAAACACAGTCGCAGGACTCCAAAAGGCACGAGCCAGGCAACTTGGCAATGCGCAGACATAAGCCTGAACTTCAATTACAGAGTTCGACGGCATCAGTACCACACAAATTGCCGACTCCCGCTGTTAGAAGGCGTAGACCTGAACTCTCATTGCAAAACTCGACTTTATCAACACCGTACAGGGCGACGCCCGTCGATTTCGGGAAAACACACGTTACTCAAGACAATGTTCGTGCAGCAGATGTTCCTAGGCGCAAATCAATACGCAAGTCAGCTGTAGTCGGTGCCTCGAGCACAAGTAGCCTTGCTAATCCACCCTCACTGCAAAAAGTCGGGTAAGTCTTGAATCCGTATCAATAACTTGAAAGGGATACGTTTCTCACATATATTTGACAGCGTGGACAGCCAAGAACGACGAAACACACCAGCAAAGCCCGCCTTGGCCAAGTTGGGTCTGATGCCACTCTCTCCATTGAATCTCAGTTTTGTTGACAAGCGCCAAAATTCTACTCCCGCCAGTACATCCGATCGTCATGCTTCCCGCGACCCTGGCTCTTCTTCTCGCTCAACTCCGCCCCAGTCATCTGCCGAACGGCCAGTGTCTGCAGTTGGTGATGCTAGGCCGGCCCTATCATACATACCGATGCGTCGACGCTCACTGGCTCAGACTCCTGGTCTCGCGACAAGGACGCCCGCTCGTTATAGGCTGCCTGGGGGCCGTAGTAGTTTCAGATCCTCGACATCGCTTGCATCTGTTCTGGCTGGTGCAGCACCAACAGGTGCCGAGGCGGGCAAAGACGCTGGGAGTGAGGGTAAACGAAAGATTCAAAGGCACATGTCGCTACCTGATCTGCAAATGAAGGCGGAACAGGAGCGATCCGTCACACCCAGTGACTCCGACTATCAGCAGCTTGGCGGTTTGAAACTGGGGACACTCCGAATTACAAACTTTTCTTCGGTCCCGAGACGTATGCGCGATAGCAACGGAGGAAAGCAAACCCAATCCACAACGGCGAAGTCGAAGAATGGCATAGGAGCTCGAAATGCAGGTCTCCGTCTTGGCTCCCAGAGTGTACCGAATCTCTCTAATCCTACGCTCTCAACAACCAATGCCACAAAGAATGGCACAAAAGACCATCTCAACGGCAACCCGTCCGTTTCATTCAGTTCTAAACGCCATAGGCGTTTCTCTTTCGGTGACACGCCAGGGGCTGCGTCTAGCAGAAAGCGTCTATCAATTCTGAGGGAGCTCATAGAGGAGCCTCTTGATGATTATGATTTTATGCGCGAAGTTTCGTCATCACATCCTCAAGCGGTAAAAGAGGATTCATGCAATCAAAATCAAAACCAAATAGCCGCTACAGAGGATAACGCGGCATTGAAACATTTCGCAGACGAAATTCTTGACGCCAGCGATGATGCGAGCGTGAATCATATCTCAGACAGCTCAGAGATCAAGCCCGCAAATGATGTTGATCCATACGACATATCTAGACCAGACAGTGGCTTTATATCGGCCTCCTCTTCTCTCAGTTCCCCGGGCTCACCTTCACAGACGGATAGCGGTTATAGCTCTTCTACTTCAATTCAATCAAAACCTGCACTTGTAGCTTCTGGAGTTGCTGATAAGACCGCTCTTGAAGGCTTATCGGGACGCGACACAAATAGTATGGGTGACGATAAGGACGGAACTGTTCGTCATCAGACTGAGGACGATTCATTAAATGGCCCTCACCGAGATTCGGTCATCTCGCTGTCAAGAAGCAGTATGCGGCTGTTGTCGTCCCTGATACGACCTCGGCATAGCCTTGCGGTTTCAGGGACTGGCGACGATGGCAGTCAACTGGATCAAAACGGTTCAAACAGCAATAACGATACTTTACAATCCAAAGACATCTCTGTGAGTCAAGACGGTACCGTTCAACCGAGGGTTCGATCAAACAGCGGTAGCCAATTGGCCGGGAAGCTGCAGCGGTTGTTCGCACATCACAAAGAAGATGACTTATCTACCGGATACGGCTCGCATGACCTCCGGGCGGTCCCCACGGTTCCAGTGGACGTCGAAGAGCGACTCAGTGAGCATAACAGAGTATTTCCAACCTCGCCAAAGAAGCTTACCAAACATTCTAACCGGAGCACTGAATCACTTAAAACCATCGTCAGCGTCGACAGCGCCATCGCGTATAGCGAAAGCAATTACAGCCAGGATGACGATGATGATGACGATGAAATCAGCCATTATGCTCACAGCATCAGAAGTGGCACAACTTACAAGGGTCATAAGAGCATGAACAGCCTGGACAGCGTCAAAAGCTTGAATAGTCTTGCCAGTTCTGGGACTGTTAGGAGTCTCTCGAGTTCCGAGAGTGCTAAGAGCGACTCAACTATCACAAGAGGGGATGACACAAAAATATTCCATATTGAGGCACTGCTGGACGGGTCTGGCCTCGAGGCTGAAGATAATGATACCCACTTGCAAAGAACTACGACTCCGGTTGCTATCCCAGCTGCCTTGCCCATGGAGGAGGCTTACCAGGACGCATTCATCGGCGAGAAACCTGTACCTCCTCCTCGAAATCCATCCCGCCAGAGTAGAAAAATAGGTGATCACAAGGCCATACTTGAGGCTAGCCGAAACGTCACCGAAAAGGCGGCACCCCAGGAGGCCTTCACTACATTGCAAACCCAGGATAACCGGTTCATGAAAAATGAACGTGCGATTCTCCCTGCCAGTCAAACGGCGCGAACTCACATCAGCTCCGGGCTAGACGTGTATAGAGCCAGGGCACCCGTATCGGCGCCGAATCTTTCAAATTCCTTCTATTCCAACTCGGAAGCCGCCGCGAAATCTGCATCAAGACTGACCGTTGCGGATCTGACCAAAGAGCTGCCACCAGAGCCGCCGCGCGATGACCTCCTGCGCAGTTCATTCTCAACACGACCGTGGCAGCAGAAGCGATTAGCTGAAAGGAAATGGCTTCAGAATAACAATCAAGAGAGCATCCGAAGTTATGAGTTTCATCATAATCATGTACGATCCCAAACAACGACCGTCATGGGCCGGGAGCAGACTCAGGTAGTCCAGGACCATATCTCGGTATTCATGTCACAGCGTCGACACTCTACTTTGATCCACCGGCCGGCCTTTTCTGAATCTCTAGCAATTGCTTCTCTGGAGCGTCCAAAAGACGAGCCTCAGCCACCTTACCGGGTCCTACACAGCTATAATTCACCAGCATATAAAAACATTCCCATCTGGGCATAATTACCACACTTGCCAGGCGTACAATGATTGATACCCTGGGCGATGATTGCTTGAAGCCATCTTGTGAGGCAAAAACACAAAAAAAAGGGAATGTGGTAATTATTATTTTGCGTTTTAATTATGTAATTACGAGCCTAATGTCACCGGGGTTTCCTCGTTCATTCATTTATCTATTGGCGTTTTTTGTCTAAACGGTTCAAGTGCAATAGGCGATGGGAGGTTCAGAAATCTTGTACAGGGGCAGCTGGCTAGAATACCCAAACAGAGCATAGTTAATAGTTATAATGGGCGTTTTTGAATGTACATATCTATCCATCACACTCGAGTAAGTCAGTCACACGTGGCCAATGTGAAGGTCCAACCACACAGTCTGTTTCCTCTTTTGCTCGTCAAGGCTGTCATTACTCTCATTTATATATATAGAACAACATGGCAGCCGTGCCATGTAAAGGAACTACTACTAGTATGCGCCAGGACGGATGGAATAAGCCGGCCCCGTGACGAGACGGACCTTGTTCCGCGAAGACTGGACGGGCGTCCCGGCCCTCAGCGCCAACCCGGGCACCCTCGCGCCGGTGCTGTCCAACGACCACACCGCCAGCCCGACCCAGTTGTCGCCCCCGTAGTCGAGGACGCCCTCGGGCACAGGGAACTCGGTCTGCGGGCCGATGTTGCTGAGATACTTGCCGAACTGGAACCCGTTGACGTACAGCAGCGCCCTGTAGTCCCCCCCGCCCCGGGAGGCGTTGGCAAACACAAACGACAGCGGGATGTCGTACGCGTCGGCCGGCAGGTCGAGCGGCATCCGGGCGGCGTAGTAGGCGACGCCGGCGCGGTCGGCGCGGTCAAACGGCGAGCCCGGGGCGAAGGGGGCGTCGTCCACGGGCGGCCGGGGGTAGTGGTAGCCCTGGCGCTCGAAGAAGAGGCCCCCCTCGTTGAGCGGCCCGCGGAACGAGTCTGCGTAGTCGTGGCCGCCGAGGTTGCCGGTGATTTTCCACGCCACGGCGGTGGGCGCGCCGTCGGGCGACGAGAGCGCGTAGTCGAGGATGCCGCGCGGCGCCTTCATGTCCTCGTATCCCGGGTTGAAGTTCTCGTTGAACCCCATGGTGTCGACCACCACCGTGACGACGTACTGCTCGCCGGCGGTCAGGCTGGGCAGCGCGTACGTCGAGTTCTGGTTCTCGGCGGCGGAGTTGCCCTTGAAGGACCCGAGGAAGCGGTCGTTGAGCCATGCGGAGCTGGCGTATGCGGTGCCGCCCGACGTCCATGTCCTGAAGAGGGACTCCTTCCCTGAGGCGGTGAAGTGGCCTCTGAAGAGGAGGGTGCCCGTGTTGAAGCCGTAGTCTGAGCCGTAGAGAGATGCGCGCGGGGGCGCTGCGAATAGGGTCGCGTTGGAGGTTTTGTGGTGCGCTTGCGGCCTGTTGTTGCCTGGGCTTTGGGAGGCGGTGCGCCAGAGGGAGTCGTCGTACTGGGGGTGAATTTCGGGCAGGGAGTCGATGGTGTGCCAGGTCAGGTCGGCGAGGGAGGGGAGTTGGACGGTTGGGATGGTGATGTCTGGCTGGGCGAGCCACGTTCCTGTCGGGGAGGTGGTGTGTTTGAGCGGCCGGCCGTTGACGGAGAGCTTGGTGACGCCGTCGGGGATGCCGACGACTTCCAGGGTCGTCGAGCCGTTGAAGTCGGCGCGGAGGGAGAGCGTGTTGCCGTTGATGGAGGCGGAGCGGATGAGGTAGCCCCCGTTGACGATGGCAGCGTCTGGATTCATGAGGGATGTGCCGTATGGGGATGAATTGGAGCCCGGAAGGACGGGGACCCAGTAGTTGTACGCCGAGTTGCGATCTGTTTCTGTGGTTAGAGGATGGAACTGCAGTTTTGGTGTCATGTAGAGGTTCGTGATAGGAGTCGGCGTACCAACGAGGTAGATGGCCAAGTTGCCAACCTGAATATACTGCCTCTCTGGCGACGTCGTCCACTGCACGACAATAGTCGACGAAGCCTGCTCGTGGGACGAGATACTGCTCCCCTCAACATGCAGGATCCGTGTCGCTGAGGGAGACTTTACCGCAAACTCATGCAATTCATCTGGGCCGCCGTACAACACCAAAACTGTCTTATCAGCGTACTTCTTCCAGGTGAATACCTCGGCAGTGGTATACAGTAAAACGTAGTCGCCCACGGGATAATCCGTCAAATGAATCTTGGAATCCCGCCCGTGCAGGGACAAGCTTCCTCCGCGCTGGGGGATGGTGAGGATCCCATTGCTGGTAGGCAGGGTGACGGTGTAGGAGACGCTGCCCGTGGCGGTGTAGTCTGTCTGACGAGCGACGAAGAAGTTCCCCGTCTTGTTAGACGTCAAGGGCGTGATGGTGATGCCCGGGTTGTTGGAGTATGCCGTGGTTGATGCGAGGCCAACGGAGGCGGTGATGTAGCCAGGCGATACTTTGATGAATTGGGCTTCGAGCTTGACCTCGGAATACTTCTCACGGTCTATGACTCTGTTTTCTCGGATGCACTTGGAAAGTTAGTACTTTGCGGGAAACGCTGGTGAAGAAGAAAAGGGGAGAAAACATACGGCACCGTAATCGTAGGACGTATAGCCGCCTGGGTGGCCGAGATTACCCCAGTTTGTTCCGCCGTAGATCTGCAGAGTCTCATAAGCTCAGGGTTCTAGAGGGGGAAAGGGGCAGCTTGGATTACCATGTAGATATTGAAAATCGACACACCGGCCGCCAGGTTGTTCTTGTAAAAGACACGTGCGAATTCGTGGTTGACGAGGGCGGCGCACTTTTCGAATCCCCAGCCGCCCCAAGGGTCAAACGCGCCGCCTTGAAACTGACGCATCTTCCGTGAGCCTCTCCTTTTGGCATTTCAACCGGGCGTACATGTTGTGTTGCGGACGTACCTCGATGATGGAGTACGGGCTCTTCGGGCTCTGCCTCTCGTGGAGTTGGTGAAAGCTTGTTGGAAGACCGTTCGGCGGCCAGACGGTAGGATTGCCCTGAAGATGTTAGCTGAATTTTCCCCTATTACTCCCAAGAGTTACACTCGTCAACTTACGCAATCGAATCCTAGGGGGTAGCTGTCGTGTCCCTACACACGTTAGTCCGGCGTCTCTACACTCTCCGACACCACGGCTTCACTCTACGCCTACATAGATATCCATGCTTCCGACGCCCTTGCCAGGAGCATAGTTTCCCGCGGGCCCAACGTCGTTGTTGATCATGGGGACCGAAATGCCCGCGCTCCTGGCCTGGTTGATGACGTACTGCATATACTGCCCGTTGGGAAAGGGGATGTTGTGCCCCGAAGAATATTCGTTCTCGGGCTGGAAGAGAACGACGGGGCCGCCGTTTGTGATTTGGTGCTTGGCGATTATATCACACACATGGGCCATGTAGCTGTTTGAACTCATCAGTTACGTTTTCCAACTTGCCACGACAGTCGTCCTTCTCTTTCAACAGGCCGCATACACACACATCCAAAGGAACTTACTTGTCCGTCGAATTCAAAAAGTCGGGCGCCTGGGACCTCAGAATCCCCTCCAACTGCTGCAAATATCCCGGAAACCCCCCTCCGCTAACTTCTGCGTTAATATACGGACCCGGCCTCGCCAGCAAATATACGCCCGCCTCAGAGGCCGCTTCAAAGAACGGCTCCAGAGCGAAGATGCCGTCCGCGCGAAACTCGCCCGGCTTCCCCTCGAGCAGCGCCCAGTCGACATAGAACGAAACCATATTGAAGCCGAGCGCCTTGATCTTCTCAAAGACATCCAAGTACAGCGACGGCACGGGGAGGCGGAACGGATGGACCTCGCCCGAGAACATCATGGCGCGTTCGCCGTGGATAAAGAGCGAGTGCTCATCCCAGGTAACAAAGTCCTGGAGGGCGCCAGAACGCCTGTCCACCTCATGGATGATTTGGTAGGGCCGGCCGCCCAGACTGAGGGCATGGCAGAACGGGAGTGCGATGGCACCAAGAGCCGTAGATGGCTTCATTACTGGTGTTGGGGATACTACCACCAGCTTTTATTTCTATTTTTTTTTCACAGAGCTACACGATGGGCTAAGGGAGGGAGAAGAGAAACAGATACAGACAATGGCCATTGTTTACTATTTAAATACTACTAGGCTCTACTGCGCAGAGACAGACACAGCTTGAATGACGGTGACGACGAGCACGACGGTAGTGTTGCAATGTGGGGACGCGAACGATGAGTGACAATGGGCCTAGGGAGAAAGTAAATGAAACCCCAACGTGCGCAATGGGTGAAGGAAGAGGAGAGACATCGGGTGACCAGCATGCTGCGTGTGTACGGAGTATGTAGTGCCATTGGCGGTCGAGAGAGATTTGGACGGGATGGCCATGCAGTCATCTGCCAGGAACACAGACCGTTTATGGCTGGAATGTGCTCACCATGAATGAGGCTGGTGAGGATTGTGATTGGAGCTGTTGACAGAGTACCGGCCGTGACATACCTTGAGAAATGTGCCGAGAGGAGAGGGGATCGTCGACGGTTTTGCTCGGATGTGCCTAGCACTACCACTAGGCCAGGCGTCTCCCTTGGGCATCTATCTGCATCATTACACATCATTCATCGTCCATGTAACATTTGATAGTAGTACTATTACAGAAAAGAGGCCGTGCTGATCATGTTGCATGCGGTGAAATCGGTCGGGTTGGCACACCACAGGGTTTACCCCTCAAGTATCCGGAGCGAGCACAGAGTGCACGATTTCCATGATTGGGGCCTTTTAAATTAAACACGAGCAAATCAAGGCAGTGTACTCGACTTCTCACAGTCCGTATATTACCTGTCTTTTGGCACTCTCCATCCATCGTTTATTCCCCCACTCCAACCGCCACTCCACCGCTCTTCCACACTTTGCCATCCTTCATGACAAAACTCACCTTCCGCAACGCACGCCCGTCCACCCTCGGATCAGCATCCAACGCAATGATATCCGCTCTGTTTCCCTCCTCAAACCATCCAAATCGATACCCACAGCTGTTCTTCCCGCACGACTCCCACCCGCCCACCATGCACGCCTCAAGCACGTCTTCCACAGGAATACCCGCCTCCATCATCAGCTCCAGCTCGCGCGTGCCCTCACCGTGATTAAATGCGCCTGTGTCACCGCCCGCCGCAAGACGAACACCCATGTCAAACGCCTGCCTCACGTTCCTCTGCAGCCTGGCCAGGTCGGGCTTCCGCAGCAGCTCCATGACGGCCAAGGTCGGGACAAAGATGGTCCTGCTACGCTGCATGGCCATAAACACCTCAGTCGTCATCAAGTTTCCGTGTTCGATGCTTGTTACGCCTGCTTTCGCCGCCATGGCTGCTCCCTCTGCCGTGTTTGCATGGCATGCCACAGGGAGACCTGCCAGATGCGCCTCCTCCACAATGGCCTCCATTTCGTCCTGGTTGAACATGACGATTGCCGGGTTGGGGTTCCTGGGCGGGAATTGAACGGGGATGCTTGATCCGTGGGTCTCGACTGCCGGAAACCTCATTGCTTGTCGGGAGTAGTCTGCGTAGAACTTGATAATGTCTGCTCCCGCGGCGACTCGTCTCCGAACCGCTGCTCTGCAGGACACTGGCCCGTCGCAGGGATCCGAGATTCGAGGGCCAGAAGCGCCGTTGGCCGTGTTTTCCGACCGGAGTTGGTACGAGCCCGTCGAGGCGAGACACTCTGTCGCCACAAAGAGCCGTGGTCCCGGGATGAGACCGCGGTTGATGGCATCTCGTACGTTTGTGTCGAATGAGGCCATTCCCTCTGTGCCCAGGTCGCGATATGTGGTGTATCCTGAAAGCAGGGCCCTTCGAACGTGATTCGTTGCGCGGATTGTACGTTCCACGATGCTTTCGTCTCTCATTTGTTCCAGGGAGGGGCGCTCTCTTGACGAATCTATCAGGATAAAGGGTCACTGAAGCCTACCGATGAGTCGACCACTTACTTGTAGGCGTGTAGGAAGATGTGAGTGTGTGCATCTACAAATCCTGGCATGACAATCTTGTCACGGAGGTCAATGTCGCCTTCCCTGATATTGGCCGCGCCTGTGTCCCGTTGCAGTACGTGAACAATGCTGCCCGTGCCAGGATCGACCGTGATTGATACATTTTCTTTAAACTTTTTGGCTTTAGAATCAAAAATAGTTCCAGCGTGGACAGTGATTGTCTTGAGCTCCATTTCAACTGACCTTGACCGCAGGGTGTTGTGTTGTGAATGGTGATGGAAGAAATGTGAGATGAGTGAGGGGGAACCACCTACCATTGGTGGTTCATGTATCTACGATAAATTCCTATTTCGACACAGTGCGTCCAGAATTTTGCACAAACCATCTTGAGACAGCTCTTCCTATCATAGGATCGATTTATTCTGCATCTCGTGGTCCGTAGTTTTGCATGGCGGCATGAGCCATGTTACCATTGTTGCTTCCAGTTTCGCTGGCCCCTGGACATGCCGCGAATAATTGCTTCTGGTGTTTCGGGGCTTCCCGAGAGATCAAAGGGTCAAGCTGTGTCGTGTCATGGAAGACGGCCTTTCAACGCCGATCCCTGAAACCTGTCCAGAATACAAGTTGTGTAGTGTAGCCAACCGTCTGTGTATGATCGAAAATATAGTGTCGTTGCAGACACTGTGAACTATCCAAGCGCATATTGTGTTTATTAATGGCGGCAGTACTCCGCACAAAGCGAAGAAAGATGTATGTCTGATGGTTAAAATTGCATGCGCACAGATTGGCCATGTCGTGAAAGGGACTGATAACTGTGGCAAGGTGTTTAAAAATTGTCAACGCGTTTTAGTTCACAATCCACCTCACGGGCGTTGGCGTCGTGAAACGTTTGATCTTGCAGGCTTTGACCTCCTTTTTTGCCTCTTTGCAAAACATAAATGCACCGCTGGTTTGTCGAGAGTATTCGACGGCGCAAGGGCTGCGCCTCACAAATACTGCATTAGCCATCCCTTTGTTGTTTTGGTGGACGACTTGCCCTTGAAGGATCTGGTGGCACCGTGACCAAACACTGGAGGGCTGCAAGAAGCCAATTATAGCACCCATGCGTCCATGCAGCGCGTCGATGTCCTTTCCAACCAGTTGAAATGTCTGGAGCCGCGGGCCTGGCCGGTTCTCGGGCATAAACTAATGCAAACGAGCATTGTGCCATGTAAAGTTGCCCCATCTGACAGCGGGCGCTGGGAGGCTTGGCCAACGGCTAGTGAAGGGAGCGATGCCAACCTTTTCTGTCGGCACTGGTTGTCGATTAATGCTGGCGCTGCTCAGGAGACTTTGTGTAGGACTTCAATGTCCTAGTTTGAGGACCCGTCAGTGAACATGCCTCCCACGCAATGACTCGTCTCATCTCATCTCGAGGCAAAAGCTGGGCGGTTTCTCAGGGGCCATGAGTCCATTACCATCAAACCCAGAAGATCACCAGGGGCCGCCGCACCGGCGGCCAATGGCGGATATCCCATGCCGCTCCCGGTGCTTACGTGTCATTCGTGCCACGAATGTTGAGACTCTTTCTCCGCCTCCTCCTTTCGGACTTGACGGCTTGACATGTTCAACTGCCACTCTGACTCCGGAGAACAATTTGCGTGATTGTCTGCAGTCTTTTGCGGGGTGCACGGTGGCAGACTGCTGGAGTGTCTGACTGGCTGACCGGCTGTTTGAATGATCTATTCCAAGTATTGGTAGTATCCCTACGGGACAAAGATTGGATGGGTGCAATGGTTGGATGGAGCTGGACATGCTGATGCCCAGGGTCTGCCCCGAATGAGGGGAATACGAAGTTTCACACTGCACCTTCCTTGCAGGTCCTGTCAGTCCTGTCAGTCCTGGCACCCTGGGGCCGCCCTCGACCCTTGACCAGTCTGGCGCACATCAATGTCAACTGGCTGGCTGGCAAGGCTCGTTCATGCTCCTCCATCAATGTCTCCTCACCTCACCTGCCTCGCCGCCCGACCGACCTTGCATGTGTTCAGTCCAGTGTTCAGTTGGACGACTGACCGACCTGGTCGACTCATCCCGGCCATTTCCCCGTTGGGCCCCGTGACTGCCTCTCGCTTCTGCCTCTTCTTTCTTCCACCAGACTGTTCCAATCCATACCAGCCTTACCATTACTACGGAGCACATACAGGCAGTCTGCATCGCTACCTTCTTTTTCCTGTTCCTTTTCTTTATCGTCGACAATCGTGAAACACGCCCGTCTTCCTTCCTTTCAAACTTTTCTCATCACTGGAACTCTCGCTCCACCAGAATCTCAAATCACTGCGCCTCCCTAACGGTGAAAGAGGCTCCACCTGCTTTCTTTCACTCCCGTTCACGCACCGAGAACTCTGCACATTAGAAAAACAGACCTCACATCACGCGTGTCCCGGAAGCCCGGCGTTGGCGTCTACATCTTGATCGAATTACGAGGACCCAACACGCTCCCTGCACAGTATTTCACTCGTCTTGGGAAAAAGACTACACCCGACATCCCCTTCAGAAGTACAGGTAGTTTGACTTGGAAACCATCGATACCGCGCCCTACCCGAGAAAGACAACCGAGATGTACTCGAAACAGATTCTCCAGCAACTGCTCGTTGCAGTTGCCATCGTCTCCGTGGCTCAGTCAACATGGCTAGATTTGAACAAGATTGATGTCCAGGCCCTCGCTGCACGCCAGCTCAGCGACCTGGTCGGAGGAACCTCAGCTTCTGAATCGTCAACCCAAAGCACACCTACTACGGAATCTACGCCTAGCTCAACGAGCACTCCATCCAGCTCGCCAACATCTACGCCATCCTCCACTCCCGCCACTCCCACCACCCCGTCTTCCAGTTCTTCTAGCACTCCGTCATCTACTCCAGCTAGTGCCACGCCATCCGCTACTCCCGAGGCAACCTCGTCTTCAGCTAGTACTCCATCCTCCACCTTTGTTCCGGTACAAACCACGAGCTCGAGCAGCACACCGACTTCGAGCACACCTACCCCTGTTGTTCAGACGAGTGTCGAAGTATGGACCACGACCAATACTAACGGATCCAAGACCGTTTTATCGTCAACGACAAGGACGACCTCTACCCCTGGCCTCACTTCTGGAGATGGCGAGACCACTGGCATGTCCACAAAGACTCGAAATACAGTTATCGGCGTCGTTGTCGGAGTTGGTGGTGCGATCGTCTTAGGTGCTCTTGGATTGGTAGCCTGGCGTATCTGGGGACGCAAGAAGCACAGCGAGGAGAACGACGGCCTCATGGCCTATGATATGTCTGCTACTGGAGGCGTGGAGAAGTCTGAGCGAGGCAGTAGTGCTGGCGGTGCTCATACCCAGCGCAGCCCCTTCCAGTCTACTCTGGAAAACTACCATCAGCCTAGTCAGGTTACTGCATCGTCCAACTTTTAATTCCGGTTACCAAGAGCACCGATGACAGTGGACACGAATACTTACCACGGGGCGTTCCGGAATTTCTTACATAAAAAAACCCGATTGCGTGTTTAGGCGATACTGAGATTTGTACCTTCTTTCATTTTTATTTTTGGACGGCGCGGAGGCCACGAGAGCCAATACGATGCCGGTTTTGTGCAGCGGCCGATTGGCCAATACCTTAGGATGCTTCGGTTCATGCGACCGTCGTTCATGCAGGAGGAAAGGCAGTTGATGAATTGTTCAAACCAGCTTATATTGTTCGGCAATTGCATAGCGAGCTTGACTAAAATGCTACAGTTATATAGACACCTTAATTAATACCCCCATTTTTTACAACTTGACCTTCTATATCGTCTACAGAGAGTTGGAATGTCTAGACAAACCATGCTGCTAGCCAGCTTTTGGAATGTAACTACCCAATGTTGGAAACAAACGTACCGGTTTGGCGGCTCTGAAGAGCAAAACCATGGACTATTTATTTATTTAATTATTCTTTTGAGGGCTTCGTACAGTCCAAGGCAAGGGAACTGGATTTCGCCATCAGTGCCCAACCCTGCCGCTTGGCTTGTGTACGCAGCTCATCTGATCTCCTTCATAATAATAAGCATTTGGAAAGCCGCGATATCCACTCGTCCGTGTCCTGCTCAAAAGCACGCGCTATATTGCCTTGGACGCTTCCGTCTTGTCGCCCACTACATCTCAATTCATTCCGTGTTCTCGCATATGTCTTCCGCGGAGGTCATTCTGTGTTTCCACTTTCCTGTTTTTCGCCATCACCATTTTACTCTCAAGAGATTTCGCCTGGGTGCGAGCCCTATTCACTCGCTGTCCCAAACAATATATGTTCCCATCACGCCTCTCGTCCCGCATTCTCCCCATTGCTTCTCGGAACTCCAAGACATGTTTGCTGACATTCATTATTTTCCAGCCAAACCCATTGCTGATATGGGTGAGCTTCACATTCCGCTCGACCGCCTTGGTCCTTCCATTGAGAGACTCATGAAAATTGGTGGCGGACCGGGCGTCTCCATCGGGGTGCTCTCGCGCGACAGTCCTGTCTATACAATGTAGTATGGCACGCGTGACGTTGAAGCGGCCCTACCTGTTGGCCCCGATACCATCTTCACGGCTGGTTCCCTAACCAAGGCTCTCACCGCTACTGCCATGGGCATTCTCATTGACGGTGGCAAGGCTACATGGGACACACTTGTCAAAGATGTCCTGCCAGCTTTTCAGTCCAGAGACGAGACGCTGCAAAAACTCTGCCACGCTGACCGATAGAATTCCCACTATCGCCAAAGGAGTTTCCGGAGAGCTTTTGATATTCCATCAGGGCAGCCTCCCCGGTGCCTTGACTTTGGTCATGCTTCTCTCGGACATGGATGCCGCAATTGTGGTACTTACGAATTCCCTCGCCCTCAACGATGTCGCAGACTGGATCAGCCTGCTCATACTTGAGGAACTTCTCGCAGTGTCGTCAGGCAACCGAACCGACATCATCAAAGCGGCAGAATCTTGCATCCCTGAGAATCTCATGTGGTACCCTGACTTGATCAAGGAACTTGCAGACATGCGAAAGAATGATACCTCTGCAAGACATCTTGATGCGTACGTGGGCACATACTGAGACGATATTCATATCTTCAAGATTGTCGTCGTCTAGGAGAAAGAAAAGCTATACTGGGCATTCCAGGTCCAGAGTTCTATAAAGCCAAGTTTAAAGCAGGGTCGGACGACAAAGTGATCAAGCTGTTCTGGGCGCATGATAACGGTGTTCCGCCCGTCCAATTCACAAAGGAGTGAGATATAGGTAGCAACAACATCCTAGAGAGCTGGCACACTTCTTGAGTTTGATGACTTTAGTTTGGTGTTCAAATGGGGGAGTGACCTGCGTTAAGCTGCTGTAATGGTAAATTTAGCTAACCCAAAGCCTGTGCAAGACCTTAGCTTCATTGCTTTCAATGTAGGGGCTGAGTGTCTATCCAGGGGACCAAGTGTTTTCCCTCGTTCGACAGCTTGGTATGTGAACGTTGGTCTTGAGCTCACTTCGTCGGTGAGATTCTTCCCAACATGGTCGGCTGGATTTCCAGACCAGCCTGCAGGGAAGAATATTGGACCGTCGAAGTAGTTGATTTTTTTTGTCATGGTCTTCCCATAAGGAAATCAGCTGTTCCGACACGCTGAACCGTAAAGTATGTAGACTGAAAAAAATACACGGGCCCTCCTGACAGCTGTTAGGTTACCTCACAGCTGGCCCCATATGTAAATGTCACCAGATATCTGGCTAAACATTCCGTGTCTGAATTGTCTGGTACTTCTTCCTGTCCCGCCCCAACTGACCGTAAACTAAGTACATAAGTACTTATGTAGACATTTCGGAAAGCTCGAACAATCGTCCACCTCCACAAAGAAAACCTAAAATCGCAGCACGCAGACTCTGTTGTCCAACCAGACCTTAGCCAACCGGCCAGGGCGCCAAAGATTCCAGTTAGCCAGTGCTCGAAGCTTTCACCAGAAATGACTTGAACGAGGTTCTATTGCTGCCCCACCCCCCACCACAGCTCTAGCTCTACCTTCACAGCCATGACAACACCAATGCTCGCGATATTCCAAATCGCGATTGCCCCCTCCCCATCTGTAGCTCGGTCTTGCCACCCGGCCCCTCTTTGCATCTCCACACTTTACCTCAAAGAAGCTTCTGAGGGCCAATACCCGTGCATGAAAGTCCGGGACGCCTCTGCCTTATTCCACGGCATCTCCCTCTCCAACATCGTGGATGTCGAGATATTCGAGTCAACGTCTGCCATCGTGTAAATCCCTGCAACTTGCACTATTATCCTCGCGCAGCCCATCTCGAACCACCGCTGGTTCGCTTCAACGACTATTGAACCCACTAACTACAAAGACGCAAACATCACACCTAAGCAGCTTGCGCTTCGGCACCCAATCGCCCACCATGTCAACCATGCCCGCCACCGGCGGCCACAGCAAGCCGTGCTGCAATGTTCCCCCCATTGTGACCAAGGGATACAAGCCTAAGGGTGCTTATGAAGAAATTGGCGGTTACAAGACTTGTACGTATGCTGTCCGGATGGAACCGTTGGGTGGTCAGTGAGCCGGGAGCTGACGCTGGACTTGGGGGAAATAGACGTCACCGGTCCTTCTGATGCGACGAGGGCTATTGTCGTCATTTACGACATCTTTGGCTACTTTGAACAGACTGTTCAGGGTGCTGACATCCTAGCTCACAGCGACAGTGAGCACAAGTACAAGGTCTTGATTCCAGACTGGTTCAAGGGCAACCCTGCCGCCATTGAATGGTAAGTTTCTGTAGGGGCCTCAGACAGGAAGAGATGGCGCAAGGGCAAAAACTGACAAACTCACGCCTAGGTATCCCCCCGACACTTCCGAGAAGAAAGAGAAGCTCGGTGCCTTTTTTGGCAAATTCCCCCCTCCCGCCACGGCCGCCAAGCTCCCTACCTATGTCCAAGCCGTCAAGCAGCAGTTTGCATCTCTAACCAAGTTTGGTATTGTCGGCGTAAGTTATTGACCTGCTCGCCTTGATCATGAAGATATGCTCGGAACTAGCAACTAAGTGGAATCAAAACTCGTCAGTACTGCTGGGGCGGTAAGGTCGCCACCCTAGCCACCAAGGCAGACAACAACGTCTTTGGGGCCATTGCCTCCGTCCACCCTGCCATGGTCGATCCGGCTGACGCCAAGGGCATCAACGTTCCCATGGCCTTGCTGGCTTCCGGCGACGAGCCCGCCGAGGATGTCAAGAAGTTCGAGGACACACTCAAGGTACCTAAGCACGTTGAGATCTTCAAAGATCAGATTCACGGCTGGATGGCTGCCCGTTCCGACTTGAGCAACGATCGAGTCAAGGAGGAATATGAGCGCGGCTACAAGACTCTTTTGAGCTTCTTTGGTCAGCACCTGTAGATGTGCGCTGAATCAGAAGGAAAACAAAATGTCTATATCGCAGGTTCTATATTGAATGTTAGTTAGTTGGCACACCAGTATGAACAATGACTCTAACTTGACCTACCACGACAAATATTCCTCCGTGTATAAAAAACCATGCCAACATGCCCAACAATATCCCCGGGTTGTTCAAAAATCCGTTTCACGTTGACCACACCAACCCTATGCCCTCTTTTTTTTTTTTCACAAATTACTCTTCTCAGCAGCATCCAAAAGCGCATTCAAATTCAAACTTTCAAACCCACCTGCCAAACCGCCCTCTACATCCCCCCTGACAACCGTACAAATCATATAATCAGCCAAATACCTCTCGAGCCTCACATGCACGTCGCCCCCAACCCTCGCGCCGCGAAACCAAACCTCCAGCGGCGGCCTCCCGTCTGAAACCCCGTCCGGCGGCGCGAAATTCCTCATCTCCAGCTCCGCCAACCACTCGGCGAGCAACGCCTCCCCCGTCATCTTGACATAGCCCTCCCTCAAGCACCACAGCGCGTAAAAGTACTCGAGAGCCTCGTCCCGGCCGACCTCGCGGCCCAGGTCCAGCAGCCGCGCGCACTCGGCGGCCGCGAAGACGCTCTCGTGCATGTCCACGTACCGCGGCCACCCGTCCTTGGCGATGAGCGCGTGGTCGCGATCCCGCCGCTCCCCGGGGCACACGACGTCCACGCCGACGTCCACGCCTCCTCCGTCCGCGCTCCGCCGCAGCACCCCGACGAGGGCCACGAGGCCCGCCTGGTGCGAGACGTTGAAGACGAGCGGCTCCGACCCGTCTGGCCGCAAAAACACGGGCTTGGAGCCGGGCGGTGCGCGCGTGGGCGTCGCCGCTGAGAAGGGGATGCGGAGCGTGGACGAGATGGCGTGGCGCTTGAGCAGCGCCGAGCCCAGTGCTAGCTTGGCGTCCTTGACGAAGTAGTACTTTAGGACGGAGGCGCGTTCTTCATGGGTGAGCAGGGAGAGGGCCCGGCTTGCCTTGTGTGTCGTTAGATACGTCTTGGAAAGAGGAGAGAGGGGGCATGGCGGGAGAGGGTACCGCTGTTTCGAGGTCCTTGGTGGCTGTGGCTTCGGGCCAGAGCGTCCGTGTGTCGAGGATCCATTGAAGGACGAGGGGCTGACTCATAGCTGCTGTTTTTTTACGAGTTGACAGTGGAAGGAGATGGGGATTGATTGCGGTTTGCGTGAGAAAAAGACCGTATGAGGTGTAAGATGTAACGTGTGGCCCAAGGTGTAAGTCGTTCAGTGACACCAAAAGCGTTGCCCCGCAGTGTTGGATTGTAGGGTAAGGCGAGCCGTGGAGGATGAGCTCCGTTTTGAGCCGCTGCTAAGCCTCATCAGAGTCATATTTAAGAGTATTATACTGTGTCCCCGACTTTTATTGCCCGGTCGAATGTCTTGATTTTTTGTGTTGCATAATGTCTGGTGGTTTGGAAAATACTCCGTACATGTCGGAGAGGCTGGGGAGTCTAACCAATCAACTCGTGCCATATCAACAAACCCGACATGGACTGACAGGACATGCATGCGTCATGGCCCAAACATCCAATATCGAGTGCCTCTTCAGCTCGATCCAGAAAGCTCTGCAAAAACGCATTATGTGCACGCAATTAAAGAACATCTGCGAAGCGTTGCAGAGAATATTGTATGTTACTCTTGAGATGCGTGTTTTTCGACATGCCAGTCGTGTCGAAAAAAAAAAAAAAAAACACCGACTGACGCCACGGGATGAACCCAAAAAGCGCATTTCTGTGGCTCGTGAAACTCAACATCTGGACGGGAGGAAGACCCCGTCGGGCAACTAGTTCCCGGGCATGGTGCCTGGCCACTTCACCCACCTCGGCCACCCACTTCACCACCATCACTCATCTGGTCAGCTTGGCACCAATAGAGCAATGGAGACACCCTGTGGAGCTGTCCACTTCCCCAAGAGAGGCGGTGGACACAACATTGAAAGTGGACACATGAGCTTCGTGGACCCCTACTTTGGTGCTCGAGTTGTCAAGCAAGACATTAGTGGTACCGCAGTTATTGGCCGGGTTCGTGCTGCGGATGGGGCCAGGCCAGACGTGTCGCCAAACATTCCGTTGAGTGGTGATGGTGAATGACATCTGGGCATGAGCCAGTCCCTCGGTAACACATGCGCACACCTTCTTCTGTGCTCCGAAGACAGCTTTGTGGGCATTGACCGTTGCTCTGTTCTACTGTTACGCCTTTAGCAGGAGCGGGGGAGATATTTACGCACGCGTTTGTAGAACTTGATGCGTGCCGGAGATGGCGAGGACGGGAAATGGTCAACTGGTTCCCTGGCATTGGGTAATCAAACTAGACGTCGAGGTACTTTGGTGATTGAAGATTGGGGGATCCACGACCTGACAATTGTTTGGGAATACTTTTGAACTCTGGGCCAGTCTGCAACTGGGACCGTGCTTAATCCCGGCTTCTTTGTATTCTCCATCACTCGCCCTTGGACCGAGATTACGTCGTGACTGGCGCCATGTACCCCAGGGCGGGTCAGTTCATTAAAGCGTTCGAGTTCGAGTTGCCCTTGTTCCGTCCGTGGCCGACAGGTGAGAAACCAAAGTGTGAAAGAAGAAGACGAACAGAACAACCAACTACAGCACGCCTGCACTTGGGATTTTCGACGTTTACGACTGTTCATGGATGGTACATGGTCTTGTTTGATTCCGGTCGCTGTGTTGACTGCGTGGTTTGGGAGGCCGTGTGAGAAACACAAATCAAGAGCTCGGCCCACCGCGCACTTGTGCTGCTTGGGACTGCAAGACCTGGGTCGGTCGGTCGCCCCAGTTTAGACTCTGTATCGAGTGAATACAATACGACGCCAATCGACATGGAGTAGTAATACAGTCTGGAATCTCTATTAGAACAGGACGGACCTGCCACTCGGGCGGACTGACCAAATACCTGCACATTCTGGACACTTGCAGCACTTGCCAGGCAGCACCTGAACAACAAGGCCAAGCCTGAACGAGCCAGAGCCAGCCGGCCAGCACTGAGAGCTAGCCACTGTTGGACCTGGGTGGCCGCCCCCAACCTCCGGCTTCCCCTTTGGCCAAGTCGCTTAGAATTATCGTGCCTCTACATCTTCGTTTTTGCTCCCCCGTCCTGCTCCCGCCATCGGGCTCCACGACGTCCTTCGAACCTCCGATGTGTCCGGCCGCATCGATCCGTCCTTGTGCCCGTCCTTGTGCTGTTCTTTTTCTGATGCTGTCGCCGTCCCGTTAAGAATATACGTATCGACACCTTTGCGGAGGCAGCACCAGCACCAGCGCACAATTTCCAGCCCGCGCCCGCGACCGCCGCAAATCTGCACCGTGGCCCTGTGGTGGTGCCCCATTGACCCGCCCCCTTTCCTCGGAGTGGAATCCTAGCGGGAAGACGCGTCGCGCTACCCTCGTTGACGACCCGACGGCTCGACGGCTGCGATACCTGCCATCGAGAACGTGCAAGTTTCGGTGTCGAGCTTGTGAGGGAAAATAGAAGAGAATCAGCAGCAGGCGACACAATCCTCGTCTGCGCTGAATCTCACTTGGTGAGACTCCCCATTTTCTCGTCTGTTTCTCAGCGTGTGCGTGGAAGAGTAGGGGGCACTGGGACAATTGTACATGCACGAGGTTGGAGCCTTTGTGTTCTGTCTCAATCTGAATCCTTCTTTCTTGACACTGCGAACCACTTCCATGTGCTGAAGCTAGTAACATGTTCCACAAGCTAACCATTGGACCGTCTCTTTTGGAAGCAGGCTCTTGTAAAGACGTCGCCATTAATCTCGTCAACGACTCCTGCTCCTGGTGCATCTGCACAGGACGGCACTGGAGAATCCCGGTCTCGACATCCGTCACCGAGTTCCCCAGCCTTGTCGACGGCGTCTACAGCTGACGGCGAAGAGGAAGATATCGAGTCTTCTCCAGCACTCCCGCCGCTGCCCGCGCCCAAGTTGCCTAGCCGGGTTGCGCAACTTTTGAGAACTCCGCCTCCTGAGTCTGGGGAAGAAAATAGTAGTTTCGGTACTGCTAGCTGGGGTTCTCCTTATCCTCGAACCGACCATAATCTCCGTCGGCAGAGCTTTAGCAGTGAGCCTTCGGACGACTCGCCAATTCACCACTTGAACATTGAGACTCCTTTCCTTCGTCCGCAGCCAGGGGAGAATCCCGACGACCAACAGCCGCAGACAACAATCAGTGCTGCCGCTGCGGTCCTGGCGAATCGCGCTAGGAGACAACACAGGGGCCTCACTGAAGACTGGATTCGTACCCATACAACTGGTGTGGTCAACGCCGAACCACGGCATTGGTTCAGTGACGGAAGCGACAGCGAGCACTCTTCACTGAGCGGCTCCCAACTAGCTTGGTTCGACGACAGCGATCCCCGTACTCCGCGTGTTATTCGGAAACCAAAGTCCGCGTCGCGCAAGTCATCGGCTAGCCACACCCGACGGCGCTCCAGTGTTGAGACTTTAAAACCCAAAGAGCTTCCTCAGATTGCAGCCGGTGGAGTGGACAGCAGCATGTCTGACGTAGAACTACAGCAGACCTTACACGAGGTCGATCTCACACGGGATGTCGCATCACCAATTGAGCCTCGAACAGACGTCGCCATGGTGGACGTTTTCGAAAAGAGCAAGACTAGCAACGCTCAGAACATGAATGGAGAGCTTGAGACGCCCATCACACCCACCAAGAGCAAAGAAAAACCATTGCCGAAGGAGCCCATGACGACTCCACGAATCAAGAAGAAGGTACCATGGAAAGGCAAAAATATTATGGTCCTCGTCCCCCGCGACGACCAACGCGGCCATGCGGGAGGTGCTCCAATGCCTCTTCGACCTGAAGAAGTTGAGAAGATGTTTTCATCATGGAGAGAGCTGGGTTACAGTGTTGATGGATTCGACCTTTTAGTTGAAGGATACCAACCCCCCGGCACCGATGACTCCCAGAGCCGACAAGATTGGCCCACAGATAATGACATGGCCCGAGAGCGATCAGAGAGAATTTATAAAGTTCTGTTACCTGACTTGAACGGTATGTCCGCATAGCTGTTTGCATGTGCCTGGTTACAATTGCTAATGTCTGCACAGCGTGGAAAAATTATGTTGACGAGCTTCAAGAGGCCAAGCTACGCGCGTTGGGTGTTTCCTTCGCCGAGGAGGAGCCCCCGGAGCCTTCAATCTCCCCGCCAACAACCAATCCATCCAGACAAGCTTCAGTGCAGTATCCGTCTCTGCCCTTTTCTCCCCCGATCCCCACCTCGTCAGCATCTAGCAATCACGGGCTTCCGAGTTATCCATTTCCAGCGCAATTTTTGCCGGCCTCTGCAAGCCCTGGCTTGCCGTCTGGCGCATCTCCGGTGTCCTTTGCTCCTGGAAAGTTCAACCCTCGCCAGTCAATTTCGTTACCAACCGGGAACTCACCCTTCCAGCTTGCTCAGTCACATGGCTGGTCAAACCCAGCTGGTATTTTGCAGGGTCTAAACCGTACTGACTCACCTTTGGCCAGCCTGAGTGGAATTCTGTCTCCTCAGTCGCCGTACGGCCTCGACGGCCTGCAACAGTCTGCAAGTCCTGGCTTCAATCTTCACCAGCGTCACCAGTCTTTGCAATACTTTCCTCAGCAGATGGGATCTATTGCGTCCCCACGCCTACAGGACGTACGTGAGGATGAGGAGGAAGATTTCAGCAAAAGTCCTTCCAAGACTCCAGAACCGACCATGCACAATGGCGACAACCTGCAAGCTGAGATTGAGGATGCTGAATACCATCTTGAAGAGCAACTCCGCAATCAACTTGAACATGAGGACTACAACCCTCAGTCAATGGTGACGAAGCCGTTTGCTGCCATGCACAGTCGAGATCAGTCATCACAGGGACTCACGGTCGCTGAGCGTTTTGCTAATGAACCTGGCAAAGCTATGGAGCTCCACCATCCCAGACCCCATTCAAGGGGACACTCGTTAACACAGACCTTCTTTCAAGAACAAGTTGACGAGCATGGTCTTGGCAAGCTGGGCTCCTTGAAGGAGCTTCCAGAAACACACAAGGACGAGGATGAAGCTCAGGAGATTGAGACGAACCCTAGTAATTTGGGAACCCCTGTACAGGACTTCGATTTTGCAGCTGCCTTTGGACAACACCAAAAGACGTTTTCTACTGTCAGCAACCCATGGCAAGATCACGAGTCTGGCGCTAGCAGCACAAGACGATCCAGCCACGGTAGCAAGCCGTCTTTGTCGAAACTTAATGTCCAAGCGCCCGAATTCAAGTTCAACCCTGCGAGCACGTTTACTCCGGGGGCCATGTACAATTTCTCAGGTGGCTTCCAGCCGGCAACCTTCCAAGCAGGTGTTAGTACCGCGATCCCGCAGTCTCTGGAACCGACCAAGCCTGTGCCACAGTTTGGCGCATCCAAGATGCATGCCAGTGCACCCTCATTCTCACCCGGACAAGGTGTTTTCAGCTTTTCTACGAGTGGACCCAAGTTTCGACCTGATGCCCCATCGTTTACACCTTTCCAGCCGTTGGCCACCAGCCCTACTGGCGGACGTGGTCACGCTGCTCGTCAAGACTCCATCTTTGGTAACATTACCATTCCAGCAGAAGACATTGTGCGCCCAGCGAAGAAGTCCAAGGCTATACCCATTATCAGACCGTCTAGTAAATCGTCTGCCCAATCTCCTAGCGCTGAAGAGGATGACCAGCTTCGTGATGGACCTGATGGCCGGCTAGCTGACGAATCTAGAGTTAAGCGGGCCAAGAGTGCTGCACCTGATGGTGACATGTTGCCTGCCTTCGCTGAACAACCTGAAGAACAGGAAGAAGATATCCAACCTGGTCACGCTGATGAGGTGAGGGACGATCGCAGCATTGCCGAAGAAGGCTCTATAGATGGGGAACAGACACAGCCTGGTGATACTTCACTCTCATCAATAGTTACTTCTGATCAGGTTGACACCAAGGCTACCACAGCTGCTCCATCTGTAACATCACCTGCCGAAGAGACAACCAGGAGCCTTTCCCACTCCGGGGTTGACCCAAAAGTTGTCACGCCCGAATTGCCATCAAGTGGGTTGTTCGAAAACAAGACCCAAGACAGCG